TTTATGTTCGGGACAGTGTAGGAGCACATATAAATCTTACACGGAAGCTTTTTCGAACGCATCTTCAGAGGAATGGAGATATGTTAGTTCATTTAAACTGTATGAAGAGCATTTTTCAAGATTTGCAAGAAAAAGAGCTTATATTTAATGAACTGCAACAAGTCTACATCATATTATCTTCATTAGATCAAAGCTATGATGAATATGTGACTTCGTTAGAGGTATTGCCAAAAGAAAGCCTCTCATTAACCGAGATTACAGGCAGGCTACTAGAAGAAGCCAGAAGAAGGCGTGAGCGTGACGAGCTGAGAGAAGATAAGAAAGAAGAGAAATTATCTTCAAAGCTTGAAAGAAACCAGCAAAGCAAAGTAAAGCACCTGGAAGAAGAGAATTTATCTTCAACGGCATACACAATTAAAAAGTGTTTTAATTGTGGAAGCAGAGGACATTTGGCAAGATTCTGCAAAAAGAGAAAAAGCCAGAATGTAAAAAAGCCAAAGAAAGCATTTGAACTAGCCACGTTTAGCAACTCTGATGTGAAGAATAATTTATGGGTGGTTGACAGTGGCGCATCCCACTGCATCACAAGAGATAAGACAAAATTTATAAAAATGTCTACAAGTTCTCAACATATATCTCTTGCCAATGGCTGGAACCTGAAAGCGAAAGGTCAAGGTTTTGCACGTTGTCCGTACATAAACCAGGATATAAAAATGTTGTATGTACCGCAACTAAAGTTTAATTTGCTTTCAGTAAGGGTATTAGATAAATTAGGTTATGTAATTACTTTTAAAGATAATAATTGCATAATTGAAAAAGATAACAAAAGGGTAACTGCAGCTTTAAATGGAACATTATATGTCTTAGATAATAGTAAGAAAGGGGAGGCTCAAACTGTATTTAATAATATAAAGCCTCATGAAGAATGTATCCATTTATTGCATAGGCGTTTGGGGCATGTAAATTTTAAAATGCTAAAACGTACAGTTGAGTTATCTGAAGGAATAAGGTTAAAATCTTGTGATAAATATTTGCGTTGTAATGTTTGCTGTGAAGATAAGAGCAAGGTATTGCCTGCAAATAGGCTAAATGGTTTCAAAACAAAAGAACCTTTAGAAGTAGTATTTGCAGACATAATAGGTCCAAAGAAACCCAGTATGGGAGGTGCTAGATATATACTGAGCATTATGGACCATTATTCTAGATATGGGTTTTGCTATTTAATGAAAAGCAAAACTGAAACATATCAACATTTTTTCAATTGGCTTAGGTTTGCTGAAAGAAAGTCTAAACGTAAACTGATAACCCTGGTGACAGATAATGGCACGGAATTTATTAATAACAAATTCCAGAACAGACTTAAGGTAGCTGGAATAGAGCATAAGAAGTCTGCTCCATACAGGCCAGAACATAATGCTTTTATTGAAAGAAGAGGCCAAACACTACAGGCAATGGTTAGAACAATGTTAAATGATTCTGGGTTACCTGATTCTTTGTGGGGGGAGGCTACAATGTGTGCTAATAACATATTGAACAACGTTGTTAATACAACAACAGGTGAAATACCATTCACCAGATGGCATGGCAGGAAACCTGATCTAAGTTACCTGCACACATTTGGTGCACCAGTATGGGTGCATATTCCTGCACAACTCAGAAAAAAAGGGCAACATAGAGCTAAAAGATTTTTCTTCGTTGGTTATCAGGCAAACCATAGGGCATATAGATTTTGGGAGAAAGGCACATCTAAAGTGTTATGTAGTGCTAGTGCCCAATTTCTAGAACATGAAGGATGGGAGAAATTAGAACAGGATGCCAATAAAGATGTAATTATTGAATCCTATAGAAATCCCATTAGTTATCCCTGTAACTTTAAAAATAAAGTAAAGAGACAAATACAGGATGAGATAGTGCCCATAGAGGAAGAAACAGATTCAATAGCTGAACAGGATGAGGAAGATGAACAGGTAGTAGTTCAACAAAGTCCTCCTGTAAGCCCTGTAATTCCCAGAAGAACTACACGTGTATCTAGACCGCCTGATAGGTACCAGGCTAACACAGTGTGCCAGATTAATCAAGTTCCTAATTCTGTTGAAGAAATTAAAAAGTATCCTACTAAGGAAAAAGAAAGTTGGTATGCAGCAATGAATAAGGAACTGAATTCATTAAGTGATATGAAGGTGTATGAAAATGCCAAATTACCTGTAGGAAAGAAATCCATTGGCTGCAAATGGATATTTAAGGTAAAAATAGATAAAGATGGTAATTTAATCCATAAGGCAAGGTTAGTAGCCCAAGGTTTTAGGCAGAATGCTAATGACTATGATGAGGTGTTTGCACCTAGTCTTAAGGCAGCAACCTTGAGGGCAGCTTTAGTGTGGGCAGCTAGTAAAAACTATATAGTTAACCATCTAGATGTGGAAACTGCTTACTTGCACGCCCCATTAAAACATATTATTTATATGAAAAAACCTGTTGGTATTAAAAGTGAAAATAAGGATAATAATGATTGTTGGTTGTTAAAGAAAAGTCTCTATGGTCTTAAACAATCAGGCTATGAATGGAACCAGTATATTGTAAAGGAACTAGACAATATAGGATTTAAAGCTGGTTTAGCCGATCCATGTCTGTTTAAGAGGGAGACAAATGGGAAAGTATCATTATTATTACTATTCACAGATGACATTGCATTGATAACTGAAACTAATGATGAAGCAAATAAAATAATATCATCATTAGGAAAGAGAATAAAGATCAAGCAATTAGGGGAGATAAAGAAGTATCTCGGTTTGAATATAAAGAAAACACGGAAAGGTTTTAAGATATCTCAGGAAGATAAGATAAGCAAATTGTTAAAAGATTACAAGATGGAGCTTTGTAAGCCGGCTAAGACTCCAATGAGTCAGGAGTTTAGCAACACTGATGTACAAAGCCCTGAGTTTGATAAGGTGATTTATCAATCTTTAATTGGTAGTTTGAGTTATATTAGTAATTGGTCTAGACCAGATATATCGTACTGCGTGAATCAGTTGGCTAGATTCAATTCTGCACCATGTGAAAGACACTGGAATGCAGCTAAGAGGATATTAAGATATCTTAAAAAGACAATGAATTATTCATTGTATTTAGAACCAAAGGGTGATTTAATTATGTGTGCTTATGCAGATGCTAGCTTTGCATCAGAAAGAGACACTAGAAAGTCGACTTCAGGAACAGCCATAATGCTGGGTAATACATTAATAGGCTGGAAGTCAATAAGACAACAGCATATAAGTTTGTCTACTATGGAGGCAGAATTCTCCTGTTTATCATTGTTATGTACAGAATTAATAATGTATAAACAAATGTTAATTGATATAGGTATAACTGTAGATTATCCTATAATTATACATGAAGATAATCAGGTAGCAATTCAAATGGCCACAAATATTGGAGTAAAAACAAGGAGCAAGCATACAGATCTAGGATACCTAAACGTGAGACAATCTGTAAGAAGTAAGATGATTCAGCTAGAGTACTGTATGTCGGAGGACAATTTAGCTGATAATTTTACTAAAGCCCAAGGTGCCAGTAAGCACCAGGAGAGTTGTGAAAAATATGGGGTTAGATTGTAAAGATATTATATATTTATTTCACCCAAAAGGGGAGTATGTTAGGTATAACATTGATACCAAATATGGTTTGGGTGAATAAATATATAAAACTTAGATATCATGGTTTAAGTGCTTATCACTTTAAGCACAATGCAGCAGGCAATTAGCCGATTAAGGGTGCGGTTAGAAGTTACAATATAAGGAAGCATTAGAAGCTGGAAAGCTGTCTGTAACTGTCTGTCTGACTGTTACTGTGTGCTGCTGCGACTAACTGTGATTACTGACTGTGAGTGCCTGTGACTGAACTGTTATTGTTTGCTACTGTTTGCTGATTTACTGCGTAATTCTACTGAATATCCAGCGTTTGTTTCTCTGGAGAGTGAAACCGGAGGAGGAGAAGATATCTTTATCGGCTGATAAAGATATTGCAAGGACTCTTAACTTGGACTATACTAGTGAGTCTTACTGGATGGAAATACTGTGAATGACTTAATGGACTGAATGACAATGCTTAAACTCTAACTGGATTAAAAACTATTTAAACTACAAACAGTGTTTGTGTTCAGTGTGTGTATACTCTGGGGCCCTTCCGCTCTCCTTTGGTTGCCTGGCTTGACTACTGCTGCAATACTCTTCTAGGGGTTAATTCCCAAACCCTAACAATAAAGGACTATATCACACGACTGACCAGACTCTTTCATAATAAACACTTAACAATTGTGAAATAATCCAATATAGAAAATCTGTATCTTTGAAATGATTTCTCGAGTACAATTTGTGCATAATTTAGGTGTTTCTTATGCATGTTTTATATTCTAGTATTGAGTAGAGATCACACTGTTCGATTCCCTGTTCTTAGATATTTTGTTAGAGAACTAATGGGAAGCAACTAAAGGTGTGTCCTAATTAAATCTTGACATACAATAAATTTAGATATTTTCATTTTTGTAATTGCTGTCTTTTGTCTTCTGAATTCTCTTATGTGTGGGAAATCAGGTTTAAAACTTTATAAAGCAATGTATCTTCCCGCATCAGTTTAAATCAATTACTTTCTCTCATGCTAAAGCCTAGGCTATCTTACAAGATTGTAAACAGGATAACAGGGAGGAACCATATACATTACATTCCTTCGAGCAAAATATAATAGTTTCTGGAAAAAATGTTCTAAATAAACTTGCATTTCTGATTTATTTATGTATGAACTGGATTTATAAGGCTGTCCAACAGTAATAATGTGACTCTGGGTGGTGTAGCCATAATGGTTTAATTGGGTTTAGCATATTGTGGGAACCCAGCCATTGTGGTTTACTCAACAAACATTGTTTAAATGAATCATGGCTTGAACCAAAACAAAATTAAACAAAACACTTTTCTGTGGCCTTTGTTTTTCTCTTGTTCTGTAGCTTGAGAACTACATTGTGGAAAACATGAAGTCAGAAATGGCCCAGCTGCAGCAGAACGCTGTTCAAAATCACACAGCCACCATGCTGGAAATAGGAACCAGCCTTCTCAGCCAGACAGCAGAACAGACAAGGAAGCTCACAGATGTTGAAACACAAGTAAGTAGTCACAATTATTTTCACCAAAACATTGCCTATGGTAAAATAATTTCCATTCTCTTTTTCTGGATAATCCTTTTGTCTAATGTAGCCAAGAAGGTGATCAGTTTGATTGTGAGCTGCATATATCATATAGGAAGGTAGTGTGTTTACCCGGTGTATGGCACAGAGATAACCCAAACAGCTGGTAGTTCAAACCACCCCTTCATTGCTCCAAATTTCCCAAAATGCTCCCATGTTTCTGGCAAGTCCCAGAGCAAAGTGATAACAAACCCACACACAAACCTAAAGCAGCCACTGACTGCAATTAGTCCATCCCAGCACTGTGTACACCAGAAGTGCACAGCAATAAATCCAGGAAGGCAAATCAAAGCGTTCAGGAAGCAAAAAATCCAGGTAATTAGTGCAGAACACCAGAAAGAATGCAAGGATTCTTAGAAAGTTCAAACATTGGCACTCAACACTTCAGGAACTCAGCATTTGTTCCTGAAAAATTCCCCTTTGCACAGCGTCTCCTTAAGTCTTATTTCCCAGGTGTACCTTGTGAAGATGGGTGGGGCACTCTTCCCTTATGTAGCCTGTTCAGTCTGGGCTATTCATACCTTCTCTCCACTCTCTGAGCTCTTGGATCAGAAGGGGGTGGTCCTTGCTCCTCACCTGAGCTCTGTCTCTCGTGTTCATCTGCCCCTGTTCCTTCCTGTCTACAAACTGTCCTAAATTTGAAAGGCCTTGGTCTTCCCTATTTTCTTCCAAAGACAATGAAGCTGCCTCTTCAAACTCTTTCAGCTCAGGTTCCAGCTCGTTTTCCCCCACAGATTCAGGCTCCGATGGGGGCATGATCGATAGTCAATTTTTGATTAAAATATAAACTTTTTGAGTGTTTACTGAAAAGTAGAAATATCAGAGTAAATAAAGTCCTAGTGGTTGTCTATATTTGGTCTACACAAGTCATTGACTCTCTCCTAGCTGGGTAGATCTCCTTACTTTATATTGAGTCATCTTTATAACTAATTCCATGGATATATTTATACATTGATGGGTGTTCAATACTTGGCCTGTATTTGCTTGAAGTCAACTGAGAAGTTATTCTCACTGATGTTATCAACCAACTGATCAAAATTCTTTCCATTTTTTATGTGCTAGAAAAGCTAGCATCGACAGGAAAATGCTATACTCCTACTTCATAAGGATGAGTGGCTTTATTGCATTGTTCTGTGGGTTTGGTCAGTCTGTTTTCAATTGGCCCATAATTCTGCTTAACAGGAAAATGTTTAAAACTAATATGTAAGTGGGTGGTGGAGAAAATATGTCTTACTTTCCAATGAATCATCTTTTTAAAGGGCTTACTATGTTTTTAAGATAAGGAGCCATCAGAAGTAAACTTATAAATCAGATGGCAAGAAATAACAGCACAAAAAATATGTATTCATAGATGTAGCACTATAATTTAATGATGCAGAGGCTTTTCTCTGGATGCTGATAAAGCAATATCCATAGTCTTGATGAACCAGCATTTGATCACATCAAAATTGACTTAATATTTTCTTAATAAAATATAAATGTGCACCAGAAACACCCCATATACGTTGAAGGATACTTATGAACTTATAAATTCAAGCAAATTAAGGTTATTTTGAAGCAGTTTTTGTTACTTTTTACAAATTCTGTGCTATTGCAGTGTGATAACAATACAAAAGAATGGAAGGGACTGAAAGCTGAAGCAAAGATGTAAGATCAGTCTAATTGAAGGTCATCTAAATCCTATATTCCAATATAGCCATTATTCATCTCCTAGATGTGGATTGGCTGTAATATCAAAGAAGATAGCTTAATTTTGCTGCTTTTCCAGACTGTAATTGACTCACTGCTACATAAAAGGTTAAGAAGCCCAGACAACATCTGGTTAATTCCAGGATGTGCTGGGAACCCATCAGAAACAGGACTAGTTTCAGAAGGGAAGAGAGAGATAACTCCTTAGTATCAGCATTTCAAACTCTGAAACAGTCCATTGATCCAAACTCATTGGGCATCCTTTCATCATTGTTTGTCCTTTGATTTTATCTACCAGTTCACAATTCATAATTCCTTACTCTTCTCTTCTCTTTACAGTTTTGAGCACATGTTATCTAACAGTTGTTCTATTTTAGACTGTCTGCCTTAAACAAATACATTCATATCTCTGATCATTACATGGGCAATTATGCACACCAAGTGTGTCACACCCAATCAGTCTTCAACCTTGAACTATATATGCAATATCCTTTCCATAATTGTTACTTAAATATATATCAACATATGGAATAACCAAGATCAGTTACCCAAGGGGAAAAAATCAGTCCAGCTACAGATGATGATGACAAGCCTTGTTCAAACTCACAGCTTCTTTTGTTTTCCAGAGAAGGTCCAATAAAAAAATTCACGTGAAATAGACTTACCTTATAAGTAATGGGATATTAAAAAAGGAAATCTTTGGAACAAAAAACTTGCATTTTTGTATTTATATCATAATGAAGAATAGAGACTACACATTATAGGTTTACACTGTATTAAAAGGAATCAAGCATTTCAAAATTCACCCAATGTGGCTTGAGTCTATCCTATGTTTTATATTACTTGCCAGGGGTATAGTTCCCAGTTTTCCTTTTGCAATCCCACAGTCTCAGTACTCATTGGGAAAGCAGGATTTTAGTTTAATGGCTTTCTACAGCACTTTCTCACCCTATGAAGAAAATACTGGACATGTTCAAGACATAAAACATAGATATTGTTCTCTTTAAGTTTTTTTTTTAAAGTAACAATGAAGACTAAATTGTGCAAGAGATAAAAAAAATCATACTAGTGCTTCAACTTTTCTTCTCAATGTTTTCGTGTTGTGTGACAAGATCTGACAGTGAACTATATAAAAAAGCCCAATTTGGGTCGGTCACCAGAACCAGAGGACAAATCATGCATTGTAAAGATCACCTGGAGGTGGTAAATAATTATAATGAAATCTACCAGAACTCCCGGCATGGATTGCCCTTGTGACTGTGAAAGACAGATAGGGAGGAAGCTAACCACCAGACTGCAAGAACACAAGTGAGCAGTCAGACAAGGAGACCTGAATTCATTGGTAGCCTCACATTACAAAGAACAAGGAGATACATTCAATTTTACAGCTACTAAGATTGTTGGCCATGCAGGTACAAAGACAGCCAGGGAAATGATTGAAGCCTATGAAATGGGCCCCTTGTCAATCAACAGGAATGCTGCTTTACCATCAGCTTATCAGGTACTTAGGAGCCAAGGATAACTGGCCATCAATACCCCAATCAATCAATAATAAGCCACAACCAACTGGGCACCACATAAATACCACAGATAGAATAACCCAAACCACACATTTTGCTAGAGAGGAGTTCCCTGAGGATGGGCTCTAGCATGAATCCGAAAGCTCAGAAGACTAAACCTCTGGTCCCGATGACCAACGCAAATTGGATCCTGCAACATTATCATGGGACATGCATATTTGCCTTCATTCATGTATTAAAAGACTTTCTGTGCAAATTGGACACGGTTGCAGGCTACATGTAAAGCTATTTACATTATAAGCAAAGACAAATATATTTCACCATATTTTAGGTCCAAGATAGAAAAGCAGTGGTGGGATTCAAATGTTTGTGCTGCCAGTTCTGTGGGCATGGCTTGGTGGGCGTGGCATGGCTTGGTGGGCATCGTTTGGTGGGCATGGCAGGGGAAGGATACTGTAAAATCTCCATTCCCTCCAGGGGAAGGATACTGTAAAATCCCCATTTTCTCCCCACCCCACTAACCTGCTTTCTAGCTTCATTGCAGGGCAACAAAAGAAGACCCAGCCAATCAGCTGGGACTCGAGAGGCAGAGAATAGATGGGGCGGGGCCAGTCAGAGGTGGTATTTACCAGTTCTCCGAACTACTCAAAATTTCCACTGTTGGTTCTCCAGAACTGGTCAGGACCTGCTGAATACCACCTCTGTAGAAAAGGCTAGGACAAGCTATATATGAGGAAATAAAGTGTAAGGTATGTTCATACAGTGACAATCACTGTATAATATAGCCTTCATTTCTTAAGAAAAACTAATATTGATTTACTTTGCTACTGCTTTTCATTCATATGAGGTTGGGTAAATATGCTAAGTAGTCATACTAGAAGTATGTATTAACCATTAACCATTTTTAGACAAGTAACCATCAGGCATATAATTTTACTTATTTAGACTCCTCAAAATTGATTTCATCATTGGAACGGTTGAATATAAAACTTATGCTTAAATTATATTTAATCTTGATGAAAATTATCTTCCTGTGTGAACCAAATTTTTAGAAACAAAACTTGTGGAATGTAGGAAAGATGGATATAAATTGCTTAAAAGTAAATGCTTCCATGAATTCTCAGATACATGATTTCTTCTTTTTTGTTCTCTTGTTGTATATAGGAAAGCCTTTTGTTGTGTCGATGTAGCTATTTTTTGTTCCTATCATCTAGGAATCGTGTTTTGTTCAATATATAACAAAGTCGTATTGAGTATGGAAGCAGCTGATATTAAAGAAATAGACAGAGGAATGCAGACTTCTCTTATAGAGATATATACTATCTAAGATGATGAAAATGTTGTAAAGACCAAATATAGCAAAGGGGATACCACAGGATAATAATATATTAGAAATTGTTTCCTTTGTTTAAAAACTGAATTCAGCTTGGCAAGCTTCTCAGATCTGAAAGTGCAGTTTGAAAATGAACGCTAAAAACCCTGTACTACTTTCTGTTGTTACTAAATAAGATATATTAATGAGATATCTATATAAGGTGCATTGGATATATTGATGAAGTTGATAGTTATGAATCAGATTGCTTTGGATCTGTGTCTGTTTTCAGTGAGGTCATTTTAACATTAATTTGCTTTTTCCTACTTGTACCAATAATGATTCATTGTGTGGCCTTAATTTATTGCAAGTTCTTTTTTTGTTGTTGTTGTTGTTGTTTGCCTTCTTCAGGTTCTTAATCAAACATCCCGGCTTGAAATCCAACTGTTGGAAAATTCCTTATCTACTTACAAGCTGGAGAAACAATTGCTCCAACAGACCCATGAAATCTTGAAAATTCATGAGAAAAACAGGCGAGTATAAAATGAATAGCATGATCTTTGAATGTTTCACTCTTATAGTCTTCACTACAATCCCCAAAGTGAGATGTTTGCTTCCAGAACATGCTGGTTTTTCTACAAAAGTTTCTCCCATTATTTACATTCTACTAGAAACAATAAATCTAAATATTTCTAGAGTTCTTTTTGCACCTGCAAGAGTATCTCATCCAGAACAAGTATTGGGACAGACATGTTCTACTTTTGACTACCACCAAAAGTTAAGAGCGAAGAGAATATTTCCATGACATTATAATTTTCTTTCTCTTTGGAATTTCTCTATTTGGAGAAGCATTTGGCTATGTGAGTTGTCAACCCCACAAAGCCATTTTGCTTCCACTGAATGGCATTCTGAAAACTATCCAAAACCTGCTGGTTCTCCCAGGCTTTGAGATAGGGTAACTCTGGGGTCCCTATGATTTTTGTGATATTGAATTAGCTTTCTGGGCAGTTCTGTTTCTTTATATATACGTATACTTCTTTCTTTTAACTGTAGACTGCCCAGAGTCATTAAGGAGATGGGAACCCTCCAAACTGAATGAATGAAGAATGAATGAATGAATGAAATTTATCATGAGAAACGATGCAGTCCAGACAAAAGTGTATTACTGTACTTTAATAAGAGGTAGGGATACATATATGTTCAAAAGGGCACCTTGTTTCTATCAAGATTTGAATGAAGCATCTCCAAAAAGGGTCATTCTAAATGGGGGAGCAAAATAGCCACAGAATTTTGTTCTGCTTACCTAAAGTAGATACATACAGAACATGCACCGGTGCTTTGTGGAAGTGGGGTGACTCCAAGGAATATATTCCATGTATCCAGAATAAGGTATCTCTGAAAGGTGAAGCATTGGGGTGGTGATTGTATAATTCCCACAGTTTGTGTGAATATATATATATATATATATATATATATGTGTGTGTGTGTGTGTGTGTGTGTGTGTGTGTGTGTGTGTGTGTGT